TTATGATTATGATTCTTCATAACTGCAGCCACGTAATGCGTATATATAATAATATATTATAATATTTATAAATATAATATGATCATCCCTTCCACAGTAATAATATATGTTTCATAGAATAATAATTTATACATAATAATGAATATATAATAACCATAAGCATATTATTATGCTTTATTTTACATGCACAATCATAAGACGGTTAATAAGTGATGTAAATAATATGGTTCTTCGGAGCACATCATTTTGGTATTAGGGATCCAATTATCGGTACATTCGTGAATGAGTGTGTGGTAGAGTCCAGCAAAAACTTGAAAGAATCAAACACACGTACGAACAGCCACAAGAGCAAAACTCCGAAAAACAGTTGAGTTGCCAAATTCAACCAATACAGCCTGCAAATAATTTTTTTTATCATTATTATTATTATTATCATAGTGTAAGTAGCTGAAGAGTACCTATAGTTTAAAACATCTCCTAGATTCTAGAACGTAAAAGTYYCATTTTTAACGTTTTATCAGAAATGGGTCATTATAGGGTCATAGTTTTTTTTCACCCAGTGAATACGCACAATATTCAATAAAAGTTGTTCTTCAAATGGTATATTATCTAGTTGAGGTCAACAGCTGCAGTTATTATATCTATGTACTGTGGTATATTCTGTTAAAAGCTTCTACAGATTGATAACCTTGGAAGGTTGTCAAAATCTATAGATACACAAATTTATAGTCAGCTTTATATGAGTCTACGATTAGATATTATATTATATTTAAAATGTATATTATATATTAATACAATTTATAGCTRCGTTATTATTATAACTTATAAGTTTAAGTATTAAAATGTCATTTCATTATAGAAATTATTTGCGTTTAGAATGCTAAAGAKTGGGGATATTTTTAAATTGTTTGTATCTCCTGGATGAGAAAACAATTATTGTACCATACAAAACAACCACTGTATATACTTCATTATAATTATGCGTAATGTATAATATTTATGAATCATGGGGACACCATTYGCATGAATATTTTCAAATGTACCTATCCCTCAGATCTAGTTAATTCTAGAACCAGAATTAAATATTGTATAAGACCTATCCAGGAGATGTAAGTTACTTATTACAATTTTCAAAATCATAATGTGCTCGAAAAAGTTGCACTCATTTTATTATATTTTATCTTAAAATTAATTTTTCATTGTTTATTATAATGTTCAGTATTGCYATAGTAATATATGTAGTTAACACACAGTAAATACTATTTTAGTAAGTAGGTGCGTGTATTTTTTGAAACATACAATTGTATTCATTTTGCTTTAACAATGCTTGTTTTTTTACAATTTGTCCAATATAAATGAGATATTTATATCTAATATTCCTGATTATTATCTGACCTTTCAATGTAGATACATTAGAGAAATAAAAAATATTATAATCACCTAATTTAATAAAATATGGTAATTACCTATGATGAAAAAAAAAATTATTACCCATAATATTAAATTATTTTGTAGAAAAACTAGGAAATACAAAACAATATTATGTAGACTGTATCAAGAATAATCGAAAATTTACACTCCAAAGTTATTGAATCTGTTTTTCCGAAAAATTAGTAGGACATAATTATTAATGAAACACATTCCTTGTGTAAGATATTCTAATAAAACAGTACATAAAATAACATTTTTCAAATCACTATAGAATATTATCTAAGCAAAACGATTGACACGATTTGATAATAACCAGCCGTATAACTTATGACAGATCCAACCACAGCGTACAAGGAAGAATGGATGTTATTATTACGTAAAAACATAGTCACGCTGATGGATAATTTATAATTTTATCTTCAACCGCAACGGAAGTTATATTACCTATGTTTAGGTACATTATTATGACCCGAGTACAGCGWGTACGTGATTTTTACTTTTTAATAACATTCAGTTTCGTAGAAAGTTTAAGTTATTRGTAAAATCTGCCTACATATGTTTTAAGTGTTATTAAATAAAATAAAATGCAACCATTTGATTTTCGTAAAAACATTTCGTTTCATGCTTTTAATGATTATCTTATTTTTAAAGCATTGGGGGAAAATAAAAACAGAATATATCATTGATAGGTTACCTTGGTRCCCATATTATAACACAACAAATATATAGCTATATTATTTACATTATAAWATGCATCGTAGTAATTTTCTAATTTACCATTTGATTGGGTGTCTCAACGTTGTAATGTACGCTRTAAGCCTTATTGGTGAGGGTATGAACTGGGAATCAATATGATGTATTCAACGTAAAAAACTCACCATCGCATAAATTGTTGYCAACATTTTTGAAAATATTTATTCCCACATAACTTTAAATTGTTATACAAAACAACAGTATTGAAAACAATTAAATTTTTATTATTCTTCATCGTTAAAATATTAAATTTTTTTTTTTGAGTAATGGCATATATTATCAATCCCATATTCCAAAATAAATCGATGTAGGTATTAAAATCAAATTTTTAACAAGCATTTTATAAGTTCATGAGTATTTCGAGTCTAGATGAGCGGAGTACTTGATCAATATTTTGCACCAGTACTTTTCAATTTGAAATACTTATAAAAATAATCCCGCTTAAAAGTAAAGAATAAGAATTATGTATGTCGTCTTTAAAAAGAATTTTAAAAACTATAACGACAAAAAAAAATAGCTAAAAATATTCTCTTAAACATTAATTGTTTTTTTTTTAAATAATGAGTATTTTTGTGAAAATAATTACCAAGTAGGTAACCATTTATAAATTTGTATACATAATATAGCTCACAGTTTTAGATGAAATCTCGCTCTATCCAGATTTGCAAGAGGCTCTTTCATACAATATTGACGAGCACCCAGCAACACATTGATCATGTACTTTTCGACATCAACTTCGGTGTTCTGGATGTAAAACTTTTCCAGATCCTCTTTGTTCAGGTTGTGTAACAGACCTTTAGTGTTTTCGATTTTGAAGTTCCAACCACGCATAGTAAAGTACTGCAATACTTCCATTCCAACGGCTATCCTCTTTTGAACTCGGACCATGCTATAAATGCAACAATACACAGCATGATTTCAATGCGATTTATGTTGTTAGTGAAGTAAGTATTTTGGGTAGGAATAYCTGCAGCMACATACTAAGTTAGGTATTGATATATAGCGACTGAGAAGTACCAAAGGTGTAGAGATAAAATCAACCAAAAACTCATTTATTTTTTGTCAATTTTGAACTAATTTTAAATTGCAAATATAAATATATAGACAATTTTTTTAAGCAATATTTTTTTTATATTTTGTTAAATCTGGTATTATAATATAATAATACATTTTATCTATGGACGTGTTTTTATTTTATTTTACTTTTTATTGTATTATAAGACGTAAGTTATTTACTCAAGAATAACATATTATACCACCCCTAGTGAAAAGTGCTCAATTAATCCYTAGTATTTTAGACTAACACCCATTAAATGCRTATGTTTATTCARCAGTAAATTAATATTATACTTTAGGGATTCAATCCCGACAATGTTAATATATTATAAGTAGGGTTTATAAGTTAATGATTATGAAATATTTCAAACTTGAAAGTTTCACCATTCTTGAAATATAAAAAATATAATTTCGTGTTTAGTATTTTTTAACGTTTTTCTTTTTTGAATRTTTTTATAAAATCATCATAATTTAGMCTGATTTCATATCTGATTAGTGAYCAATTATCATAAATATTTAACTCACAATCATGATACGTAGAAAATAAGATAGATAATTTATGCAATGTACAATRTAAGCAATATTTCTGTAACATCTAACTAAATAGATGTGTTTACTTTTATACATCCTAMTACCTATAGTCCTTATAAGTTAATAAATTACCAAATTTGAAAATATACCTATTTTATGTCAATAACTTCTACAGACATGATAATATACTAGTTATCGAGAAAGACTTCTAAAAACATATTTGAAATCATCATGAACATGTTCGTAATTTAATAACATTTACATATTTCTTTTAAAATGCTTAAGAAATAGAAAAGTAGGTTTAACATTTATTTTATGATTCAGAGAACTGAAATTTAGACTTTGATTTTTCATATTTCTTAATTTTTCAAATGTTAGTGCTATTTCTTGGCTTTTTAAATTGTTTTATTTTTATTTTAAACACATAAATCGTCATTTATTACTCATAAATGTCTAGTACCCGAATTCACACCCTTAAATAGTTGCTTATATTTAGTTTGATAAATAATGGTGGATATCGGATCCCCTGGAGTGACTTACAATGTCTTTTGCCTAGCCAATATCATAATTCCATCGATCAAGTAGGCCGGCACGATCTGCAGCATGAAAACAATGAAATAGTGTACAAATTTGTTGGTCCTTATCGATCCATTGGGGTACCATAGACCGGCGTCGAATGGATACTCGTATGCGTATCGTTTTCCTTTGGCCAACACTTCACCCCAAGTCAAGCGAACGATGTCTCCTTTGGATATATTGTAACACGGAACCATGTCTTCGATTGTATTACTATAACGTCAGGTTTTGAATAATTATTCGTAATGTATTCAACTATTTTATTGCTTATTAAATTATATTATTATTATTCTACACATTATAAGCATAAGAAAAATTCGATTAACATAAGTGAGGTATTTGAACAAAAATAAAATCTACATAAATATCAATGATCATATATCATTCAAATACATTTTCTAAACATAAATGCTTGATTACATAATATTTAAATCCAACATTTATTTCATTTTAAAACAAAAAAATATACTTACATGTACTTCATATGTATAAGAGCTCAAAGTTCCTAAACTTAAGAGAACGCCACACCCGCATGTGTTGTCTCCGCCATACAAGTGCGTAGCATAGCAAATTTTACGCTCAGCAGATCACGTTTATCTCCGTTAATTTAAAATTTAGAGTGAATCGACCTATTATAAAAATTAAAGGCAAGATTATTACCGAAGTTATTTTATAGGTGTTTTATTATATTTTAATCTTAAAGCGAGTAATGAGTATTTTAAAATTTAAAATTATTTTTATTTCTAAAAATACTCATAACTCGGTTTCAAATTAAAATATAATAAAAAGCCTATGAGATGCCCTCGGTAATAATCTTGCCTTTAATTTTTATGATAGGTCAATTCACTCTAAATTTTAAATTGAAGGAGATAAACGAGATTTTCTGAGCGTAAAATTTGCTATGCTACGCCCTTTTACGACGAAGAAAACACATGCGGGTGTSGCGTYCTCTTAAGTTTAGGAACTTTGAGCTCTTATACATATGAAGTACATGTAAGTATATTTTTTTGTTTTAAAATGAAATAAATGTTGGATTTAAATATTATTTACATCCTGTATTTGGATWTTGGATATACACACAGGTGACATATTATTTTAATAAAATATTCAGTACTTTATCAAATATTCCATTATTCAAACGATATTTAAAATTAAGAACTGTAAATATAAATATATTTTTCCGTGTGACGAATCAAATCTACGGCCTATCATTGAAACTCATAAAATACGACTATAAATTATAATGATTGTTAAAGTGGAAAAATAATCCAGTTGTGTATTTATTACTTRTTTACTGCAATATTTGAATATAATCAAAAAATATCGTATTATAAATCACTGGAACAAATCTGCTGAAGATACATCTGCTGTATATGCATAGCGTATAGTAACTTGAATAAAGGAAAAACCCAAGAATTCCATTAGCTTGGGATCCTAAATTTTGACTTCAAATTTTAGTAGCATATAAGTATTCAATAAGACTAGTTTTAAGCCCAAATATTAACCCCGATATGTTTTTATCGTCCTGAATACTGGATTTTYGTCATCCTGGCACCCTAAACTAAAAATGTTTGATTTAAGTCTAATTTTATTATGTATAAGCTGTGTATAATAATATAGTTATAATCTACATATTTTAAGGTATATTGGTTCTTATTTTTTTTTTTTTTAAGTATAAATAATAATTATCATACAACATATAATTGAATATGCACAATTAATACTTAATGGATATATACGCTAATTGGTTAGCCTACATGGTAATCAATAAATATTAATTTTATGTATACATGAACATGATTATATTCATGTTTATACCTCCAATGAGGAAGCACCTTTCCTTAATATAAGTCACCTAAACAAAGTTCGTACGCCTTCAAGCATTTGATACACTCTAATGCTTTGCAAGTTGTCAAAGTTATTTGACAGTTGCGTTGATATATTCAAATATTGATGGATTCAAAGTCGATCTTCACTTCACTCACTTCAAACTTGTGTGCTCCGACAACGGTACGAAGATCATAAAGTTATGATTTGCTGACACAATCTCATAATTGTATGACATAAGTATAAATTTATTTGATAATAGTTAAGTACATTTAGAATTAAGCTGTAGACTGATTAGGTCTAATGTGAAATTTTTTCCAACAAGCTAGTATTAATTATGCATTTTTTTTTTTGCAATTTTCCAGTGACATTGAGTTTTTCCAATTCAGACGTTAATCAAGGTCTTTATACTTACAGCCACTAATCACGTACTCAGCTGATTCTTAATGTGGAATTGTCATGTAATTTATGAATACTTGAATATTTTATATTTTGCGTAAAGTATAATTCGCGAGTTCAGACTAACAACTATTGATACGCCTTGTCCAAATCAGAGATCAGATTGATTAAGGTTGTCAGTTATCAGTCATAACATCTGTGAATAATTAGGTGTTTGTTGTAAAATCAACGTGTCGTCAGCAAACATAATATAGCGGAATATTTGAGTCTTTATTTATTGAGATATTAGTTGTGTAGAGAAGAAAAAGGATAGGCCAACACTATTTTTTTTTTTTTTCAAAGTTTATTAAGGCTTCAACAACACAGGTTTTTATTTTATTATTGATATGTATTGTGTTTCCAATTTGTTATCGCTCTTACATGTATTACTTTAAATTATCGTTCAGGTAGATCTAAAATTAAGTCCATATTATCACTTTTTAGTTCTCAGTGAGCTCTTCGATTGATCAAAATGTTACTTCGTTAACCGTTTGACTTAAAATAATTTATACCTAACATATTAGTTTAATAATTCATCGTGTAGTAAACAGACGAAAGAAGAGCAGCATAATATTTAGTATTATAATATTAAATAATAATTACTCGATTGTTGTTCTCTTCCAAGCAATTAAAACAAGTGCATTAATCGCAATGTCTACTGGCACGACTTCTGCTTCATAATCTGGACTGCATAACATGGATCGGATCACTCCCTTTCCGCCAGCCACGATGACTCCTACAGGGCCGTTTAAGCTATCCACCCATCCTGGAACGGGCTCTTTGAACGAAGGCGTCACTGAGAGCAACAACAACAACAAAATCAAAACATTTTAGTATCTGAACCAACACAGCAACACGTTATAATGTTCTCGTTAATACAGTCAGTGACTACGATAGACGTGGTAATCAGGTAATGTATGTAATCGAGGAACAATTGCCTTTTAATTTTTTAATGTGCGGGAGGTAGWTGGTTGGGTAGTGGTCAATGGTTAAAAATATAGTATTAACTAGTATATAAACATTTACTACAACATGTAGTTGGGAAATGACAGTATATGCTTTTATCACAGGGTTTGGGTGGGTGAGTGGGTAGAATATTAGACTTGTTTCTGAAGTACTTTAAGATCGACATATCAATAACTGCAGTACCTACCGGTTGTCCATTGCTATTTATTCCAAGAACTCAATGTACATACAGTGTATAATATGTGTAACGTTAGGTTAGTACGCATTTATTAATATATTTTAATAATACGATATTAATATAAACTTACCAATCGACGGACGGGCTACAGATATTGGAATCCGATTGGCATATTCACTGACCAATGATTCCGCCAATCTTTTAGAGTAAGTGTAGCAATTTGGATGGGGCCCGAGCAACCTGAAATCGATTCATTTTTATTAGTTTAATACCGTTAACCAAATTGTAATGATAATTTGCGGTTCTGTTTGATCACCAAATTAATTACGTTATTCGAACAATTTTATTTATTTGCAAGCCGTTTATTTTCTCTAACAGTCGAATAAGGTAGTAAAGCTAACCGGTTCACCCTGTGGCGAAACAAAAATAAATAATAATAGCCAATTACGCTCAGAGCGGTCAGCTGATGGATAAATAGTATTGTCATTTATAGTTTCTGAAATAAAAAAACAATTACTTCCGGACTATTTATGTGTCTACATTTAAGTTCGAAGACATAATGACGCAATTTAGATAGAAAAAACTAAAAATTAAATTAAACTATTCGATAACAAATGTTTCAGTATACCATCATTAAAATTTAAATTCAATTTAATAGATTCTCAGTGATGCTGGCAAATTTTAGGCATTAAGAGTTTTATTTTGTATTTAATTTTTAATTCAGAACCGAGAATTTGATTATTTCGTGCTTGTCATCGAGTTTGTTTCAAGCTTCAACTCGATTAATCAATCTAGTTAACTACTAAATCCTAGTTATACGCATGTGTATAGGAAATATGTGCCCGCTATAACACATCCAGTGACTAACTCAATAACGAAGTAGTGTTACCTACACCTAAAACCTACGATGAACCAGATCAAATTCTTTGTTTTTTTTAAATTAATCATAAAATATACTTTGGAGCAGTTCAGTATTTTCTATATGAATTTAAAGAAGATGTAATTTATTATATTTCGTAATAAGTTTCAACTTAATAAACTTATTCATTCAACTACAAACATAGGTACTTTTATTATGTTGAACAATTTTGGGTATACTTCCAGCTTTATACAAAATCGTTTTATGAAAGAGAATAGATGATTATTGATTATTATCCATGATTAAATTAACAATAGTATTGACGTCCACGTTTGTCGATATTCTGTTTCTTATTTTGTTTCCAAAATTAGGTAATTATTATTTAATTTGAACAAAAATTTCGAAAATTTTAAATGACTAAATTTTCGTTAAATATACATTAATAATAATGTACCTACTTAAATACTGTCGACGTTGAGCTATTGCACACAAAATAGTTTTGACATTTTAAATTAACTTAAAATTTAAAATGGGCGCTTACAGACTGTAGATGGTGCATTTTTTTTTTATTAGTGTGTAATTTATATTTTTTTTGAGTAATTGTTAATTATATTTGTAACGGGACAGAAAATTGGCCAACAAAATCAACTTAAGCCAAATGCACCGATCCGCAAGGTGTAGAATAGCATATATACCAACGAGGATTGCTAATACAAACACCACTTTCCCCCGTTGTGTGCGGTACTATTGCAAGCCGGACGGTCTTAAAACGCCGTTATACATGGATACTCTACAGACTATATAACTACGTGCCACAGTAGTGCACAATCCAATGTTGACATGAATACACACTGATCCGTAGTTGTCCCTCCCAGTCTCCCTTAGTATCGCAATGAAGCCACCGTAGGAGCCGAGTCTTCACCGCCGTATCTTGCTGTTGTGTTACGAGCCGCCGTCAGAGCTGAGCACGTAAACACTATCATCGTCAGATCAAGTCCAGGATAATCAATCGTGACTTATATGTCATTGGATTTCCACCCTTTATATGTGAATCCCGATAAACCTTTTTATTGTAAACTCATCAGAGTATAAATTTAAAAAAATAACCGTTATACCAATTAATTTCATGGATCATATATTTACTATAAACAATAAATTTTATGAAATTAGACAACATAACCTTTAGTTTCATTACATATTTAAAAGGTGCTATATATATCATAATCTATTATCTTTGACAATGAAATGATTAATACAAATGTGATGCATCCAGATCCAATGACCTATAAATTGACTTTTTTTCATTCAGGGCAATATAAAGCAAACATCAATCTCCATTACAGTGTTGGTTTATCAAATCAAAAGACGAATGAAAAACAATATAAATAAAAATACATTATTACTAAGTGCCCTTGATAACTATACAGTCGAAGTGGCAATTCTATTTACGAATGTGTTGTGTACACAATGTATACTTAGATACTATTGCCAATATTGTACACAAAACAGGTACCTATTAAGATAATTATTGTAAAGTTAATTTCAACTTTTAAGCTTAATTACATTTAATTATAAGTTACTTAACTTTTAATATTTATTTGATTTTTATTAACATTAACTTAATAAATAGTGAATTTATTTTAATCAAATGTAAGTTAGGTTCATTTATAAATAATTAAATAGTAAATATTTATATAAGTAAAATTATTATTGATGGAACATAATAGGAAATTTAATATGTAGGTAATTCTTAAATTCACTTCTTGTATTGGTGCTTACTTGCTTGTTAGCCACAATAATATTGTACAACGAGTTTAATATTTTTTTTTTTTTTATATACCATACTGCCGTTAAATATTAATAACTCTGTCTTATCAATAGCCAATAGGGATTAGGTAGGCACAATTCTCAAAAGAACAAATTATAAAATATTATAGTCAAAAGATGGTGTAAAATTAAATAAGTACATAAGTAAGTTATTATTTATTATGATGTAGTACTGCTTTCGTTCAGATTGTTTATTATTATTTAAAACTGTCTATTTGCCGTTATTACATATTAAAGAAAAAACATTTAATTAAGTTAGTTAATTAATTGTTGATTTCTACGAATAAAATATAACTCTTCACTTAAGTTAAATAAAATGATTTGACTATTAACTTTAAATCATATTATTTTTACTAGTAACTTAACTCAACTCAATTTAAAAAAAAAACCTCTTTAACTTGGTCACACGTCTTGATGTATATTACATTATTACCTAGGCGTGATGATTTCAAGCGTATGATCGTCCATCCATTCGACAGCTCGCATGACGTCTTCCGGATTAGCCGGCGATGGATAAATCGTTTCATCAAGTGTGTCATATTCGCAGTGACAGAAAGCCGTGGACAAATGAACGAACGACTAAAACAACGAGATCCAATTGCATTCTAAATTTATAATATTTTTGTACAAAATAGCATAGAAAACCCGTCTTTGTCGCCACCAACTTTTACCGTTTCAGCCAGGCAAAACGACAATAGCTACTAACAATCTTATAGAGTAAATTCATTAACGATAATATATTAACGATATGACCCATTAAATTTTTCATGGTATTATACGTTACCGATTTTGTTTTTAATTTTTTTTGTAGAAACTTAATATCTAATTCCCATTCAGTCTCGCTGGGTATGAGATATTTATAATATGGGCAAAATCAAATGTTCGTTATATACTTTTACCGTATAATAATGTCTAGTTGCATTAAAAAATTGACTAATTAAACAGAATACTAAAATAATTTAACGAAGAAACCCTGTGCCTCTAAATAATGTTTAAAAATACCAAGGCTGGGCATTAACGAGTTAATAAGTTAAAAGTTAAGTTAATTTTAACTTATTAACTTAACTTACTAGTTCGCTGTTTTAATTAACTTAACTTATTTTTATCTACGTTAACTTAAAATCAACTTCTACATTTTAATATTAGCAATTATTAAGTTAATTTTAATTTTCTTTTTATCTAGAATATATTTTAGTTTATAACGATTCATCGATATTTTAAAATTCGTAGAATATTAGAAAATATTGTTGGAAAAAAAAAGAGATTTTTGTAATTATTTTTATAAATAACAACTAATATGTATGTTATACTAATTATGTATGCACTAATAAAATAATAAATAATAATTTATAATATAGAGATAACATTGTAACAATGTGACATTTAGTCGCCCGTGTGACCATAATATTATTATATAAGATGTATCAATAGTTAAGAACTCACGAAGTCACGTTTAATAAAACCAGGCTTGTTAGGTACTCATTAATTATTATTATTATTATTACTTAATATTTATTAATATCTTATTTTATAATTTTTATGATTGTCGATCATCATGAATTGTGACCATTTTATTATAAAAATACCTACCTACCTATAAATAGTGGTGTATTATACATTTGTGATTTTCACTTTTTTTAAAACCTTTTCAATGAGCTTTTCTTTTATTAACTTAACTTATTAATTGAAGTTAAGTTAACAAAATTTGTTAACTTAACTTTAAACTAAATTGATGTACTAAAAATACATTAACTTAACTTTTAATTTAATTAAACAAAAAATRTTTAACTTAACTTAACTGAGTTAAAAAAAATCATTAACTTGCCCAGCCTTGAAAAATACTAACTGATCGATGTTCAAAATATTAGGTTTAAATTCATAAATACATCGGAGAGTCAGTCTTAGAATTAAATAATCATGTGCGAATATTTATGTTATATGAACATCTTTGACTATTTGAAATATCAGAAAAAACTATACATCTTTTTTTATAAATATTCAATTATGAATTTATAAATTTCATTGCAAAATTCTTCTTGGGAAAAATTTCAATTTTCTGGTTTAATTTTTAATTTAAATTTCGGAAATTTTGTTTTACAAATGTTTGAATATTTCAAAAGTTTGATTTATATTAATTTTATTATCAATTGCAACTTGCATTTCACACACTTATTCCGTTATTTTTGGAGAATTTTAAAGTAATTATTGTATTATGATCAGTCAGTAATCCGTCACTTTTAACACATTACTTATTACACCCTGCAACTGTACAAGTACAAAAATCGGGGAAATATGCGGTGAAGGGATGTATAGTTTCGACTATTGATCCTTCAATGGTTTTTTTTAAATATATATATTACAATATGCTATAGTCACTATAGATATGGATATCTTATACAACTATAATAATATTGTATAACTACATAAAAATAGTCATAATTATACAGGACTTTAAATTTGAGAGAATCGAGTTAAACTTAAAAATATGTTGTCATACATACTTACAAAAATAATTCGTTATTTCTACTCCACCATCTACAATTATTGGTATACTTATAAGTACTGAATTTATATAATTACCTCCAAATTTTTCATTTCGACAGCCAAGTCCAACACATGTTTCGTTCCAGTAGTATTGTATCTTATCGCATCCTTCAGACCGGATTCCAAGCGCAATGATGCCGCCCCGTTAAAAACGATTGACACTTCGTTGACGAGTATCGACTTGTTTTCGTTGCTAAGTCCTAGTCCTGGTAGGCCCAGGTCACCTTCCATCGATTTGATTTTCTTCAGCCTGTCCGGAAACTCTGTTCGCACTCGGTCGAACACCTTGAAAAAAAAAATTTGTCGATTACTTACTAGCTATATAAATATGTGTATAGGTATAAATATTATATTCTGTATCTATATTTAAATGTTATTTGCTTATTGAGAAATATTCTTTCTTTTTTGAGCTATTGCTTCACAGTATTTTTTATTAACATTTATTGAAGACAATAATCAGTTCTTATACCATTTGGTTAATTGGAATACTCCACAGTGTGGATACTATATTACTACTGTATAGTATACTGTATTATAATATTAATTATTATAATCATTCATTTTGTTATATTAACTACGGCACTACAGGCACCGATTGTCGATGATTATCGAATTATCGATCACGACGATAACAGACGATGCGCGCACCCATAGACTTTTATATTTAAAGAATAGTTCTACAGTTCTATATTGAAATTTGTAGTGGCATGAAATTAATAATAATAATGATATGAATGTTGCACAAGCAATAGATATATTGAATATTTTCAATTAATAAATAAATAAATTTCAGTTTTTTAATTTATTATAATTTTATTTAGGAATTCAAACCATGATAAGAAGGGGATCATTTATAGTATTTTTATTTGAAGATGTGTTAAGTAAAATTAATATTATTAGTAACCATTTACAACAAAAACAAGCTACTTTAGAAAAAGCTGTTAATTTGGTGAATGTTGTTATAAAAACGTTTTAAAATAATCGTAATGATGAAAGTTTCAATGGTGTTTGGACTGAAATTTCATCATATGCTAAAAAATTAGACAAATCGTTGGAAATAGGTTTGTATAATTTAAATTTTTATGCACATATACTCGTATTCTATACCATGTTATAATTTTTTATTTTTTGCATTGGTAAGGTTCAAAGACAAAACGTAAAAAGAATGAGCCAACAAATTTCAAAAATTATTATGTTTTTTCAAAAACTGAAAATCAATGTTCTTCTAAAGTCATGATTGACAGCATGACTGAAGAAAAAGGAAAAATCTGAGCACTGGAAAATAAATGCTTATTTTAGAGTTCTGGATTGAATAACAGTTGGTTTGAAAAAAAAGTTTTCAAAAGAAAATTTAGACATTTTAACCGCTGTTGATCATTTTTTTAAATTAAATTATGAGGACAGTATAATATTTATTGAAAAATATGAGGTGAGATTTTTTAAGCTAAACACATTTGGATTAACTTAGGTCAATTTAATATAATAAAATAAAACTTTTAAAATTGTTTTGTTTTTAATTTGTGTAGGTACTTTATTCTCGGTCATAATTCGATAAAATTTACATTGCATATTTATTGATTGACTATATAAATTTTAACTACCTATTATATAAGTATATAACTGTAATGACTATTAATGTTACAATTCAATACATTCAATTTTAGCATAGTTTAATAAAAATAATCAAGGACTTAAGTCACCCTTGTTAGTTAGGGTATGCTACACACATGCTCCACACCCTCATTACAATAATATGTCAATTGAGTATTTGAGTATAGGATGTTCACACAACACATCATGCGCTGATTTAAATATTTTCCAGGACTTAGGTATTTAATTTCGTTGTTAGTTTAAATTCAATTTAATCAAAATATCCATATATAGTAGAAAAAAATGTTTAACGCATATTTTATTGGTTTTGTAAGTGCATGTTCCATTCCTTGAAAATTGTATACTCAATTATGACGATATTATGTCCTAAGATTGAGTGTTTAAGCGTGCGCTATAAAGTATAATTCGTATATCTATTTACGTTTGTATGAGTTTAATGACCTATATATAATAATAAACATTTTTTCGAAGGTCTCTGCAACACCCTTATACCTACACCATTATATTGGATAACCGTTCTTATTATGGCCATAAATGAAGATTGTACAATGACCTTATTTTTATGATTCATATGTATAATATTATAATAATCAATTATTATAAACAACGATTTAGTCTGAGCTTATACATTTTATATAGAAATATTATAGTCACTTTTACTTTTAACGCTTTTATATTATCGGTTGAACATAACGAAAGTGTTATTATACAAACGCTACACCTATTATATGTTACGATGATCGTTGCATGTAAACGTATCTTGCTACACGACCAAATGACCTTAAGAAAATATACGATAAATATTATAATTAATCACAGTACTCATCRATTATATGTACCGTTTTAGGTGTTACAGCTGGTACCTGATACACATTGAGAACATAAACATTTTACAGAATTATAAATAATAATAATTACACACTGAATGTGTAGGTACATACTATTATAATATATGTGCAATGTGCCTGGTCCAGAGATATGAAACAACCTTTCAGATATATTTTTGCATGCCAATCTCCTATATTTAGAGACAGATTAACAATAATCATACAACAATTATTATGAATTGCATTGATGTGGCAAGACAAAAAATTATGAACAACCCATCTCCTCAAGCTATTCAGATAGATATTCAAAGAAAGAATAYGAAATTTATATTTATATCGCGGCCTTGACCACCATAACAATGATGAAATATTGTTTTAGTCATTTTCTAATACTAACTATCCAAAATTAAAGTAATAGATTATTGTGTATATTAGTACTATATTTGATCACATAATATTGACAGGTTGAAGAAAAAATATTAATTAAAGTCATGTTTAATATCTATAATACATTATCAAGGTTTTATTAATTTCTATCGAGCATTATATCATTGATTTTAAATTGCTTCCACTTTATCTAAATAAAATAATACTATTAAAATTTATTATTATCACTCAACTGCTAATTTCCTTATTTGCTCTATTCTGGCTGCAGGGGTGAAACCTCGCTTTGGTCTACACAGTATGTAAATATTTTTGACGTTTCCACAGTCTCTAAGTAGCTTCTCGGTGAGTACTTTGCCCATGTAGCCAGTTCCTCCGGTGATGAACACCGAACGATCGTTGTACCACTCGCACACACTTTGGTTCGTCATTTTTCACCTGGAAAATAAGATATCAGACATTATTCAATAATGATAAATAATATACCTATTACCATCGGTGGCAAATTAATTTAATTTCAAATTTTATACCTAATAAAATGAATAAAAAATATGCTTGTATAATGGGCGAGTGTATGTATACGCTCTATTTCATATTTTAGACATAGGTTAAGGTATAACATAACATATCAACGAAATGTTATTTTCATCATCCAACTAACGTAAACTATACGTGTTTTGTTTAAAGAATATTATTATTATGATATGACTATTATGTTATGTTCGTATAAAGTGCTTGCGTAAGGAGAGAAAAAAAATATATTGAGTATTTTCCGAAGTTAACATCAATGTTATAATAATATTGCTTAAAAAAAAAAAAAAAAAAAAAAAAAAAACAGAAAATAATTACGGAATGTTATCTTATAAATTCCACCTATACCATATTATTAAAATACCAAGTAGATGTGTCGGAGCAGATTTTAAATGTCAATTAAAGACCAAACAAGTTGAGTCAAACTATGAAAAGATTTCTTTTCAACCTTCTAATATTTTATTTTTTATGAACTTAATATTAAAATTAATTGTTGATCTCATTTTAGATTCTGAGCGGAGCGAAGAATGTATTGGTTTTACAATTATGTTATTTCTTTTTCTTTTTTATTCTGTAAACACTTTTTTTTCCTCTAAACTTTCTCAAAAGTATCAAGTACTTATAGCAACTTTTCTGAAAGGTTATGTTCTTGAGCTGGTACTTTAGAGAGGTCATTTTTCGATTTTCGAAATGGTACTCGAAATAAAAATGGTTAAAGGAGAAAAAACGTAAGATTTCACGATTTTATAATATTAAATAATTACGGACGACGTTTTTTTTTTTTTTTTTAATTATAACAATATAATTAATTTAGTATAACGTATAACATATCTTATACTGATAAGCCGTCTACACTCAGAATCGTTTTTCGTATACAATGATATTACACCATTGAATTCAAAATGTAATACCATCCGTTACAGTAACCCACTTGTAACTTACTGTACTGCAGGGCGACATCCACTTACTTACCCGTTTTTTTACAAACAAAAACTTAATTAGAATTACAACAATTTTATTTGGACATAGATACGCGTTGTAGGAAGTATATTACAATACAATTTATCATAGACTATACGATATTGCGCGACACATTATTGAATGTATTTGTTATTTTTTGTATCATAATTCACAAAACAACACTTTTGTCGCAAGAATTCCCCATGGCTCCTTATTTATTAACAAATAGAAATCGTAAATCTATTAATACTCATCCAATAGAATTATCTATTGAATTTTTTCACATAGTTAGAATACACATCAATCCGTATAATTAACAATGCATACTGTGATTTTGAGATGTTTTCCAATTTTGTAGTAAGTTTTTTTGTTAATTCTTAGCGATAAACGTATTAATATTTTATATTTATGTGTGTTTGTGATTATGTTAGTGTTTACCTATCTGTTATCACTCATCACTTTTTGTAGCGGTAAAAATGCTTAGATTTTGCACTTCAATGTATTTTCCTTAAGGGGATTCGATACGGCTGTGATTTCTACCAAAATATATCTACCTATATTTTGTCAACTGTATTGATTATTCTACTAGTTCTAATGATCGGAAACAAATTCAAAAAACATATTTAAATTCGCTATGAAGTTTATTTGAAAATAACTTTTCAACTTTTTTGAAATGATCACTTGAATCCTTCAAATTTTAATTTGAAATTTTTAATTTGAAGAATTTTAAAATAATATTTATATTGAGCTAAAATTCCCAGCCAAGTGTCATCAATGGGTGATTTCTAGATCAAAATATTCATGCTACTATTATAATATCATATAATATCACTTATTGTGCTATGTTGTACAGATTGTGTATTTCAAATTGTAAAAAAAAAAAAAAAATATTGAGCTAAAAAAATTAATAAAAAAATTTAAGAAAGTTGCTTTCAACAAAACTTCATGATGAATTCATATATGTTTTCAGAATTTGTTTCCGATTAGTAGAACAGTCTGTACAATTAACAATAGATTGATACTTTAAGACAAAAAAAAAAAATAAATAATGTTTATCTCGCGTGTGCTGGTACGTAGTCAAAAATAAAAAATATCATTATGCAGCGGGCTGTAGTAGTTAGTGGGTGGGTGGAGGCACTCATACTAATAATCGTTTACTACAAATACAAATATACATCACGCACGCATGCACTATGTCAATTGCCTTCAAACATGCCTATATTCAGCTCCTTATTATAAACGATCGGTATCGAATCCCCTTATTAAAAGTAAATCTATTTAGTAGGTACTTAAAGATGGGGAAAGTTGAGTGAAAAAAAGCTCAATACTGTTCTTGATAATTGAAAAAAAGAAAAAATATTAAGAAAAACGAGAATGTTCAAAAATTATCTATTATCAACACATGCTCATATTAAAATTTTCAATACATGGTACAAATTTCAAAATATTTTTGCTGTTTTTATAGACATTTGGAGTATTCCATTATTTATCTATAAATAATAATAAAACAATTTTGCTTATATTATGCTATATTAATGATGACATTTTTTTGTTCATATTTGGATGTTTATTGGACGGGTCACTTACAGGTATAGTCAATCACTCAGAATATTAATATTAAATAATATTATACCTACAAATATTATGTACAGTTACAGTATACACATAGTTTGGGTATTGGCTAATCAAACCGTAAACATACCGTTGAAAACAGTGGCTGCGATGAGGTGAACGGCCTATAGCACAAGATTTATTTAGGCCGTACTGTGAGTGTACTACCTGTATAATATATAATATATAATTTACAGAACTCATGTGCAACGATATTGTATAATTATAATAATTACAAAACGCGATGGTCGTAAGTATTGAATAAAAAAAAAAAAAAAAAAAAAAACGGTACTTTTTTGTATATAAACTGAGTAATTAGGCATCGCGCGAGTGATTACAAGGACGATAATATTATTATTTTTATATCAAATCACGTGTGATGGAATATCAAGAAAATTATCCAGTAAACCTGCCAAGTGTTTGGATGAAATAGAACGTGACAGTGAATATGACGCCATTGCACGATTATTAATGTTTTTACGAACCGCTTAAGGAATGTTTATAATAACAATAACAATAACAATAACAGACTTATATTATAATAATATATTAAATGCGGTGATTGCAAATATTCCCCTTCATTTTCACGTTGATACGATCAATACAACTATTATATTTACGAGTATTATGATATTATTGTATATTATTTCACTTAATATAAATGATAGAGTAATATTATTATAATAATATAATATAGGTACGCTGTCTGTGATTTTATGAAACAGATAACTTTTGAATTTCGTTGAAATTAATACGGTTGGTTGAAAACTTGTCGAGAACAAGACCGTATGCTATTCGAATGATACATTTTATATTTTTATGACTTAAGATATAATGATATAAGTTAAAGTATAAAGTGCCGTTGAACACTGTATAAATAATCTTTTGCAACTTGAACAGTGTCAAGTTAAGTATAAATGAGTGATTTTTTTTTAATTTTAAAAGCCAAACATAGATCTTTGATTTGCTAACAATGGATCCTTTATCTAATTAACTTGTCATCATAAATTGACATAGATGAAATATTTTATGTATTAGGATGTTCCATCAAATTTAAAAATAATTACTATTTTAATAATAGTTTATTAGATTAAAGTTTTTTATGTTAAGTTTTTATAACGATGTGCATTTTTCATTGATTTTTGTCTGAAAACACTTTTTTTAGTATAAAAAATGCTTCAATCATAAGCTTTGACTGAGATTTTTGGTTCCTGATTGGATCTAGTTGGTACTTTTAGGAGGTTAAAATTGAAACTTCTCAGTAATTATTTAAGAAATAGAGAACAATAATTTTAAAAAAAAAGCGGGTAAGTCGTGAATGTCACTCTGCTGTACAGTAACCTACTATAAGTGGGTTACTGTAATAGATAGGATTAAATTTGAATCCAATGATATATCATTGTATACGAAAAACGATTCTGAGCGGAGACGGTTTATCTGTCTAGGATATATTATTATAGATAATTAAAAATTTTCAAATCTTAGATTTAAAAAGAAATTTTTTATGAATTTCTAGCTTAAAATAATTTGCGAATTTTCACGATTATTATGTATTATATGTTGTCAAAATTCAAACTTTGAATGCTTATAAAAGAAATTGTGACTATATATTTATTTTATTTTTCAACTGCTATTGTAAAAATATATTATGAGCCTTGTATTCAATTTTCAAGCTTTTCTATCCCGATTATTTAGAAAAATATTGAGAATTTTTTACTTTTGACCCCCCAAAGTACTAATTAGATTCACTTTCTAAATTAACGAGGTACTGAAGTCGAAAATCGAAGCACTTTTACTGCCTCAAAACGTGATGACAGACACAAAAAAAAACACACACACATCATGGGTAAAATCAATACATTCCTCGCTCCGCTCAGAATTTGATAAAAACAGTAGAAACACTATTGTTAAAATAATTTTTGGTAACCTGGCCGTTAATAGAGTTTAGTCGTAGTATATGCTCATTAAAAGTAGCAGAAAGTATGTTGTATATAATGTATAATATAAAAAAATCTCTAATATTGCTTAAATTCAAATATAAATCGGATATATAATTAACTACTTTTACTCCAATCTCTTGCCCAACAATACGTAATATACGATTTTTTTTAAATCAACATAACACAATTCTAATTTGAACATTTTCGAGAACTTTAAAAATTATTTAATTATATTATGTAATATTTATAACCGGAAAGTACGATTCAATATATCTATATCGATTTATGGTCATATGAATACATGGATAATAATCTGGGAAGAGGGGGGGGCGGTTCCATCTCATATTTTATGATGGTATAGCAACATCCAGTATCACACTTTAATTCATTTAACAT